AAATATACATATATAATTATATATGTATATGAACAATTTTTTCTCATTTTATAAAATTAATTTTTTGTAAAAAAAGACTATGCAGAAATTATTCTTTTAATTATTTTTTATGTTTTCTTTTTATTATTATTATTTTTCTTGTAATCAAACAATAATTTTACAAAGAAAAGAAACATATGGATATGTATGGACATATTTCACATATAATTATGTGTAATTATATATTTTTCTATATGTTTATATATATTTGTATATATTCTTATATAAAAAATTTTTTCCCGGGGAAAATTAGTATTTAAAGATAAAATGAATTAATAAGCACATTTGATAGATAAGTTAGGTCAATATGGTAAGTTAAAATCGACGTATGAAATTCTTATCAATTATATTTTTATACTTTTTAAAATTGTAATTGTACGTATTATAAATAAAAATTATTATATTTTATTCATTACTTATTTTTATAACTAAATATTAAATGTTTATTCCTATTTTTGTAAAATTAACGATTTATACTGTTGCTTATTGTATTTAAAATAAGAGACTTCAGAATTAATTAAACAAAAACTTTTTTAACAGGTGTACTTTTCCAAAATGCCTACATGAAATACAAGCATCATCGCGTCGTCGGAATGTATTCACTTTTTAAACCAGTTTTGTTGATCAATGATCCCGAGCTTATTCGTACGGTGCTTACAAAGGAATTCGGAAGTTTCCATGACCGCGGATTGTACTGCAACGAAAAGGTCGATCCATTGTCCAACCATCTGTTTCTTATATCTGGAAAGAAATGGAGAAATATGCGCGTCAAGATGACGCCCACTTTCACTTCGGGAAAACTAAAGCAGATGTTTTCGCTCCTAAAAGAGTGTGGCGATGAACTCGCAAACTATCTGAAGAGTAAAGCACAGATAAAAGATTCCATCGAGATAAAAGATATGTTTGCAAGGTAAATTGTTTTTGAACAAACTGTCTGTTAATCAAAGTTTCATGTAATGTCAAAGAATAGAAACTGCTTTATTAGCAGTAGGAAGTTAGTGGAAACAATGGAGATGAGGAAAGAATAAGTAGCATATCCTCAAACAAATGTCCTTTTTGAGAAGAAATTTTCTTACCATTTTGAAATTTCTGTGACTTCAATGAAGTGTCAAAATGTAATCTTTCAAATATTTTAAATTATGTATTAAAACGAGCAACATATTAATTCTGTTACATTACAAACGTTTTTTAAATTTATCGTATCTCAATTATTGATCACTATCTCATCATACAATCAAATGATAAAAGAATTTTACATTATTTTACTTTTAACATAACAATTATGAATATTCTCTGTTGATGTAAACGAGATGGGATATTGTTTATTGTAAACAAATTCTTTTAATTCTTATAATTAGTATTTTTGGATTTCACATTACACATTTAAGAAATAATTTAATATTTATATATATATATATATATATATATATACATATATGACTACGTCATCTGCAGCCATCATTTGTCTTTGTTTAACTTTCGGCGAACGACAAGAATAAAATAAATTTATATTTTATTAAATATAAAATATGTAATTATCCAAATAAGTTGCATGTACTAGGAAAAACTATTTTGCATTTAAAAATAATTTAAAATTTCTATATACCCATTTATATTTAAAATTGATTTGAAAAACCTATTTTAAATATATTTTTAAAAATATTATATATTTTAAATGCAATTCGAAAAGGATTTTACTCAACCCTGATTATGGATTATCTAATCCAAAAGTTAAACAACTTTACATTATTATTTTTAACATAACAATTATAAATAATTAATAATTAATACAATATGAAATATTTACAAAAAACATTTAAAAATTTGTATTGTAACAAATGAATAAATAACGAATTTCTTCTTACATATTTAAAAATCTTTTTAAGTCTCCATTGTTTCATAGCTACTTTTCTGTATTTTTCTTTCAGTATTATTTAATCGAAGTGCTTGTATTTTAGTAAGTTTTTTTATTTGTACAAATTTATCTTTCTGTAAAGTTTTTCATAATTTTAAATGTTTCAGCAGAATCTGCTAAAATTTATTAAAAATTATGTGTTAATTTTATCAATAGATATACAACGGATGTAATTATGTCAACGGCTTTTGGTATTAAATCTAATTGTATTAAAGAGCCGAATAACGAGTATCGCATCCAAGGAAAAAAAATTTTTGAAATAAATCCAATTTGGACCATCTTGTTTCTGTTTGTGCCAAAAATTATGGATATGTTTTCTATCCCCATGTTTGACCAAAATTTCATCAGTTTTTATATGAATATATTTCGACAAAATGTGGAATACAGGCAAGCTCATAACATCATCAGACATGACTTTATGAATCT